CTAATTAAAGCCGGCTGTGGTGGGCTACGAGGTGCCCTAAGGGAAATCACCAACAAGTCCCTCTCCGAGGGACTGTTCCCTGGGGCACTCAAGGAAGCAGTGGTATGCCCCCTCTTTTTTAAAAAAATCCTTGGATCCGGCTGAACTGGCTAACTACCGGCCAGTTTCCAATTTGCCCTATTTGGGCAAATTAATTGAGAAAGCAGTGGCAAATCAGCTGCAGGGTTTCTTGGATGACACTTCCATATTAGATCCCTTTCAGTCTGGCTTCTGACCAGGCCATGGGATGGAGATGGCACTGGTTGCACTCACAGATGACCTTCAGAGGCATCTGGATCGGGTTGGTTTGGCTGTGTTGCTGTTGTTGGACCTGTTAGTGGTGTTCAACATGGTTGACCATCAACTGATTCACTGCCTCGCCGGCACTGGGTTTCAGGGGTCTGCTTGCAGTGGTTCGCCTCATTCCTACAGGGTCAGGGACAAAGGGTGGCACTAGGGGAACAGATATCCTGAAGGCACCTGCTAGTTTGCGGAGTGCCCCAAGGGGTGATACTTTCCTCGATGTTATTTAATATCTACATGCGCCCCCTTGCCTAGATTGCCTGGAGGCATGGGCTGGGGTGTCACCAGTATGCGGATGACACCCAGCTCTACCTGTTGTTGGGCGGCCAGTCTGATTCTAGTCTGGGAGATCTGAACCTGGCATTGCCGGCCATGGCTGGTTGGCTTAGACTGAGCCGACTGAAATTGAATCCAATGAAGATGCAGGTCGTGTGCCTGAATCGGGGTGGTCCGGGGTTAGGGATCCCACTCCCGACCTTTGATGGGGTGCCGCTGGTGCCAGTGTCAGAAGTTAGGAGCTTGGGAGTGCTCTTGGATGCCTCCTTAATGATGGAGGCCCAGGTAGTAACCACTGTTAAGTCAGCCTTTTATCATCTTCGGCTGATTAGGCAGTTGGTTCCCTTCCTCAAATGCAATGACTTGGCAGCAGTGATCCACATGATGGGGCTGCCCTTGTCCCAAATCTGGAAGCTTCAGCTGGCACAGAATCTGGCGACCAGGCTGCTGTTGGGTGTCCCCATGTGGGAGTGCATTCAGCCTGCGCTAAAAGCATTGCACTGGCTGCCTATAGTGTACTGGATTCCCCTCAAGTTGCTGGTGCTGACGTTTAAAGTCCTTTATGGTCAGGGGCTTACCTACCTGAGGGACCACCTTTCCCCACATGTGCCCCAGAGAGCACTATGGTTGGGGTCTCAAAATCGTCTGGTCCTCCTGGGTCCCAAAGATACTAAGCTAGCAGCGACCAGGGCCAGGGCCTTCTCAGTGGTGGCTTTGTGCTGGTGGAATGAGCTCCCAGAAGATACTAGGAAGATACTGTAAGATGGAACTCTTCCACCAGGCCTTTAGTTAAGGAGCTGCATCTAACAACTAAGACCCTGTGCCCAATGTCACCATTGACAGCCTGTGCTTTGCCAAATTGTAATAACAACTGCTGACTGTATTTTTAGTATGTCTGCTGCTTTTACTACCTCGCCATCATCGTATAAGCTGATAACTAGCACTTTAAGTCTTGTTTTTATGCTTATATTTATAATTGTTTTGTTTTATGTAAGCCGCCCTGGCAGGGAGGGCGGTGTATAAATCAAATAAATAAATAAATGTTTCACTTTTTTTTCATCGTTCCCTTTCCAGTTATCTCTTGTCTGCCTCCTCTCCTCAGCTGAAAGGGAGAATATCACCTTCCCCACGTGTGAAGAACACTTCAGGCACTGCAGAGCTATCTGGAGACCACAGGAGTTGGGAAACACCTTGAGAATTTTGGGGTGGAGACTGGGGAGGGCAGGGTTTGTAGAGAAGAGGGACCTCACAGGGTACAATGCCATAGAGTCTAGCCTCCAACACATTCATTTTCTCCAGGGCAATTGATCTCTGTCATCTGGAGATCACTTGTAATACCAGGAGGTCTCCAGGTCCCACCTGGAGGTTGGCAATCCTGGAAGGCCATCTCAAGCCAATTATCTCCTGCTGAGGGAATGTCTATAGGTTTTATTGACATTATTTTGTCATGCCTCAGGCTTCAGTCCATTTAGGCCAACCCATACTGATCGACTGATCAGGCAGCAAAATGGCTGCCTAGGCTATTGCATATAAATAATGCAAATCTTTTTTTCCCTTTAAATCTGATAAGGTTGAGAACATGGGCACAATTCAGCTGAAAGATTGTAAAAGTCTTGTTGATATGTTAATAGTAGAAATTTAAGCAGAAGTACTAAATGTTGGCTGCATCATGCTCCGTATCTTTCATGTCTCCTGAAGAGCCATTTCAGCGCATATTTTATTTTATTGGTTTCTAAATTGATTGTTTCCCCCCAAATTCATGCACTGCTTTGCCTACATCATTCCTTCTCATAACAGCCAATACTTGAGGCCTATAAGAAAGGCAACAAAATTGGATCAGCTGTAGACAAATTTGTATTTCTACATGCTGTGGGAGGAACTATTACTCTCAAGATTTGTGAGAATTAAAGGGGACAATGGGCCTTCTGAGCCTCTGAGACCTTATAGAAACCTGGCAGAAAAGATGGGGAGTTTCCAAATAATTTACCCTTCCTACCTTGATTCATGTAGGCCTTAGCAATGCCAGCCTCCAGGTGGGACCTGGGGATCCCCTGGATTTGTAGCTCATCTCCAGACTACAGAGATCATTTCCCCTGGAGAAAATGGATGCTTCGGAGGGTGGACTCTATGGCATTGTATCCTACTAAGGTCCCTGTCCTCCTCAGACCCCAAATCTCCAGGAATTTCCCAACCTGGAGCTGGCAACCCTACACCCCACCCACCCTTAATAGTGGCCAGGGGGACTTGCCAACTCCAGATGGCAGCTGAAAATCTCCTGAAATTACAACTGATTTCAGGTGCCACAGATCAGTTCACCTGGGAAAAAATGGCTGTTTTGGAAGATGGACTCTATAGCATTATACCCATTGAAGTACCTTCCTTCCCCAAACTCCACCCTCCTCGGGTTCCATCCCCCAAATCTCCAGTATTTCCCAATCGGGAGCTGGCTACCCCAGTAGGCCCCCAGCTTGTATAAACTGATGGACTTGGCTGTAGGTTTGTCAGCTTCCTGGTGGAGCCTGGAGATCTCCTGGAATTACAAACATCTACAGACATCAATTCCCCCGGAGAAAATGGCTGCTTTGGAGGATGGACTCTACAGCATTACACAGATCTCATGCAAAATTTGTTGCCTTTTCTTGTAGGGAACTAATAATTACACTGAGCATTTGTACAGCACCTTCACTTGTACAAAGTACTTTGCCTTCCAACAACCCCATAAACAGATTAGTATTGTTACCCCCATACTGTAGAGGAGGAGTGGAAACTGACAGTGCAATCCTAGATGGAGTTACTCCACTCTAAACTCTCGGTTTGCTTTAGAAGGGTTTATTTATCTTATTTATTTAATTTATACCCCACCCTCCCCGCGAGCGAGCTCAGGGCGGCTTACATAATTGGTCTGTAAATGACCATTCATTCACATAAAAACAGTTTAAAATTCAATTACAATAAAACAAGAATCTCATAAAGTGCGTTCCTGCCCAAAAGTGGTAATACATTAAATACATAGGATGGCATGCTGGAAATACCATACCACCAGACAGTTTGCCACTCAATGACCTTCCTGAGCACAGTGGTAGAGGCCAGATGTTAAAACTACAGGCTGGCTCATTGGTAGTAGTGGCTCGAAGAAGAAGAAGAGGAGATTGGATTCATACCCTGCCCTTCACTACCCAAGGGAGTCTCAGAGCGGCTTACAATCTCCTTTCCCTTCCCCTCCCCACAACAGACCCCCTGTGAGGTGGGTGGGGCTGAAAGAGCTCTTGACAGAAACTGCTCTTTTTTCAAGGACAGTTCTTATCAGAACTACAGCTTGCCCAAGGTCATCCAGCAGGTGCGAGTGGAGAAGTGGGGAATCAAACATGGTTCACCTAGATTAGAGTCCGCGCACTTAACCACTACAACAAACCTAGTTGAAAGCCTGGTGGAAGAGCTCCGTCTTGCAGGCCCTGCAGAACTGTAAGAGTTCCCGCAGGGCCCTGATCTCCTCCGGGAGCTCATTCCACCAGTACGAAGCCACCACTGAAAAAGCCCTGGCCCTGGTGGGGGCACGCTTGGCATCCTTGGGGCCCGGCAGGGCCAGTCGGTTCTGGGACCCTGACTGGGGTATATATGGGGACAGGCGGTCCCTCAGGTATGTTGGACCCTGGCCATATAGGGCTTTAAAGGTAAGCACCAGCACCTTGAAGAGAATTCAGTATGCTATTGGCAGCCAGAGCAGCACCTTCAGCACAGGCTGGATGTATTCCCATATGCGAAGACCCATCAAAAGCCTGGCATTCTGCACTAGCTGCATTTTCTGAATTTGCAACAGGGACAGCCCCATGTAGAGAGCGTTACAGTGGTCTAGTCTCAAGGTGACGGTGACATATAACTGTTCAGGGCACTTTTGCAGCCTATCAATATCTTACTTCTTTCTGGAAAGAATGATGTGCCCCTCAACTGTTTTAATATAATACTCAAAAATAGATAAGGATAGATATGTAAAGCACTCGCCCCTCAACACTTTTATGTTCACCTCATCATTTGTTAGTTGGAAGATTGGTCCGACCCTCTTTTTTCCTGGTACAAAACACTGGAATGTAACAGAGATGGAAAAAAGTCAAATCCCGATCTGTTGCTTTGGAAGAGTTGTCCTGAAAGCGTGACACTTCAGTGCCTTTAACACACGTGCGCACACACACCCGCACGCACGAAAACCCCATCGCAAGAGTTTCTTAAACTGCTTCTGCGCTGACTACTTTACCCTCTCAGTGTTTCAAACATGGGATTTGGGGTAGAAAGGGTTAAGGAAGCGGAAGATCGGTAGGGGGCGTTCAATTGATGCAAACAGTAGCTGAGACTTCTAAAGTTTGTCCAAGACCCGGCGAAGGGTTAGGGCGGGGGGGAAATCCTTTCTCAGGGAGCCGGGCGAGGCGAAGGCGTACAGTTAACCTGCGGCTGAGGCGCACGGGGAGAGCGAGAACTTCCCTTCGCTTTCTCCTGAGCCCTCCTCTTCTAGCTGCGCTCCTCAAGAGCGGCATCGGAGTTTTGCAGCCGCCCAGGTAAGGCATTCCTCTGGGCTTGTTTTTTTTTTTTTGCTTCTTCTGCTTTCTTTCTTTTTTTTTTAATTCAGCCCTTGGCAAAGCGAAAGGGCGCGCGCTGGGTAGGCTGCGCGATGTACTTTCCTGCAAGAGGATGATTCTGGGGCATCGAGCTTTGGATGCAAACAGGACTCTGTCCTGCAAAAGGACTCGCCTTCCTCCATGGACAACGGTGGGTGCCAAATGGATGGAGCAATCTGCAGTGTTCCTCCTTGCACTTAATCAGGAGGAACAGCCAGGCGTGTGCTTGCTTGGAACGACTTGAATGAGTCGTGGAGAGGGTTGTAAAAAAAAAAAACCAAAAAAAACCCGGGGGGGGGGGTGTTTTCTGCTCAAAACGTTTCCGAGTGGGGGAAAGACCTTGGAATACAACCGGAAATTCTGATAAAAGGGTAGTTTGACTTTTTTTTTTTTTTTGGTATGTCAAGCGAGAAAGCTGAGGAAGGAGCTATCATGTCAAAATGTCAAAAAGAGGCACCACGTTACATTCGGACAAAAAAGGACATTCCTTTTAAAATAAGGGGGCAATCTGGCCATGCCAGGCAAGACCCTGCCCATTTCGGTTCCCACACGTTTCTGCAAACTCTTAGCCATGTATGTTGGCCTGGTGCAGGAGTGTGGTGCTACAAAGCTCAGTCAGACTGAGTCCCTCTAACCCAGGACAGAGACCTGCGGGGTGCCAGCAGCTCTCCAAGGTCTCAGACCAAAAAAAAAGCCTTCTCCTTGTAACTGGGAGATCCCAGGGAATGAACTGGACTGAACTTTGAACCTTCTGCATGAATTCTGTCTCTGAGTTAGGAGGCAAGCTTTCAGGTGTCACAGAACTCTTCATCAGGAAGATTACTGAGATGACATAATTGAAATATGCCCTGACTTGAATGGCCCAGGCTAGCCTGATATTGTCAGATCTTGGAAGCTAAGGAGGGTTGGCTCTGGTTAGTACTCAGATGGGAGACCACCGAGGAAGGCAGGCAGTGGCAAACCACCTCTGAACGTCTCTGGCCTTGAAAGCCATGTGGGCTCACTATAAATTTGCTGCAACTTGGCATCACTTTCTTCCACCACCACCTCAGTTGCAGACCCAGAGGCCTGGCCGAAGGGGTGGAATGACGGAGATGCATGCTGTTAGCTGTGGGATTGCTTGCGGTCTTGCAGAACACTTTGAGAGATGGGGCCAACTGGCACTGTGCATTTCGTCCTCAGTGTGCTACTTATGTAAAAGATATTGCTAAGTAATATCCAGGATGGCAGCCTGAATTGGGTCAATGAGATATTATTGGGGACCAGTCGGTAAACTCTGAAATCCGTGTTGTGGTGAAACACGGTTGCAAGCTCAAGCCCCGGTCACCCACTTGAGTCTTCTGTGCACCCAAATCCAGCATCAACCTTGTTAAAAGTTATACACCTGCTAACCTGTGATGAGTAAGGATTTCCTCCAGTCAACCAAGTTGAAAAGCTTCTATAACCTGGATGCTTTCAGGCTGCCCACATGCTTACATTGGTATGTGCAGCCAGATCGGCTACTTGGAATTCCTGTGGGCTAACAACTTCTGTGGACTTATGTTCAGGGCTGTCCATGGCCAGAAAGGAACGGACAGAGACACACCCTGACTGTTCCTTACAGTACTGTGCGAAGCCACAATCTTTCCTGCATATTGCTGGAGAACAGTACTTGTCATGCTGGAACAAGGAGATACCTATTTTAAGTATGTTGCATGGTATGGAGTCGTAAAGGACTGAAATAAGAAACAGCCATTATGCTTTAGATGGGCCTTGATCTTATCTAGTGAAGCAATGCTCACTTGCTTAGGTTTGGTAGAACTGCTTAATTCGAGAATAAGGAGGGTCTTCTGGAAATCACCACATAGTAGCCAGCACAGTGTAATGATCAGAGTGTTAGCCTGAGATCTGGAAGATTCAGGTTTGAATCCCACTCTGCCCATGGAAGCTAATTGAGTGACTTTGAGTCAGTCACTGTCTATCAGCCTATCCTGCCTCACAGGGTTGTTTGTGTGATTATAAAATGTACAGTGGAGAATCTTGTTGAAAGCTGTTTTGGTTCCTATGCCCATGTTCAATGTCACTGCAGGACCAAATGGTGAAAGAAACATGACATATCAAGCATGACAGGCGGAGCTTTGTGTCACCTTCACCAATGTAATGTATTTCCCATTATAGGTTAGGTCACCCATTCCACAACAAGCCCTCAGGTAGTGAGATACCAAGTGGTTACATGCCTGGCTGTATGACTCAGCACATGGTGAGCTATCACAGCTGAAGCCAAATGGTCCCGTTCGATTCAGAATGCTTGCAGTGAAGTTTATAGCTATCTTCAAGAAGCAGGGAGTTGAATCAGTGTCCAGTTATTATGGTTGTGGGTCTGAGATTTGTATTGTCCTTGTTGGGACCATTTCACACACTATACAAATTGTATCCTCTGTCTGCCATGTAATATACACTCAATATGGAGAAAAAGTCAGTCATAACGGACGAGCACTAATATGATGTACATTGTTGCCACATTCCATCTTGACATGGTGCTACGTACAGAACAAATCCTAACTGCGTGTTTTTAAAAATGAAATGTGTCCAGAGAACTGGAATCCATTCCAGATCCTACAGCAGGTGGCTGCATTGCATAAATCAGTTTTCCTCCCTTTCCCTTTTTGTGTCTGTAAGAGCTGTCAACTTGCTTCCGACTTATGGCTACCCTATGAATTAATGACCTCCAGATCATCCTATCATTAACAGCCTTGCTCAGATCTTGTAAGCCGACAGTCCTGGCTTCCTTGACTGAGTCAATCCGTCTCATGTTATATCTTCCTCTTTTCCTGCTGCGTTCAACTTTTCCAAGCATGATTGTCTTTTCCAGTCACTGTTGTCTTCTCATAATGTGACCAAAGTACAGTAGCCTCAGTTTAGTCATTTTGGCTTCTAGGGAGAGTTAAGGCTTGATATGATCTAGAACCTGCTTATTTGTCTTTCTGGAGATCCATGGTATCTATAATACTCTCCTCCAACACCACATTTCAAATGAATCAGTTTTCTTCCCATCAGCTTTCTTCATTGTCCAACTCTCTGCCCCCCATAGTAATGGGGAATACTATAGTATGAGTTATCTTGATCTTGGGACTCACCAGCAATACATCCTTACACTTGAGGGTCTTTTCTAGCTCTTTCATGGCTGCCCCTCCCAGTCTCAGTCTTCTTTTGATTTCTTGGTTGCAGTCTCTCTTTTGGTTGAAATCTGAAATCTTGAACAATTTCTTCATTATCTATCTTAAAAGTTATGCAATTCTTCAGTAGTCATTACTTTTGTCCTCTTGATGTTCAGCTGTAATCCTGCTTTGACACTTTCTGCTTTAGCTTTCATCACCAGTTGTTTCAAGACTCACTCTTTTCAGCCAGTAATGCGATGTCATCTGCACATCTCAGATGATTAATGTTCCTTCCACCAGTTTTCTCTCCACTTTCATCTAAAGTATGCCTTGCACACAAAAGCTCATACCTTGAATAAACCTTTGTTGGTCTTAAAGATGCCACTGGACTCTATATTGGTTCTAAATCTAATCTAGTTTTCCTTATGATACATTCTGCCTATAGATTGAAGCGATAGGGAGATAAAGTACATCCTTGCCTGGCCGCATTGCCAATTGGAAACCATTCTGTTTCTCCATATTCTGTCCACTGCTAATCTCTTGCCTCACAGATCAATCTCTTGTCCAGAGTACAGGTTGCACATCAAATCAGATGTTGTGGCACACCTGTTTCGTTTAAAACAACTATAACTTTTTCTGATCCACGCCATCAAGCTGATTTTCTTCTGAAATTCTCTTGTATGCTTAACTATTGTAGGTTTGCAATACGATCTCTAGTGCCTCTTTGGTTGCTGAATCCAGCTTGAACATTTGGCATTTCTCATTCCATATATGGTAGCAGTCTTTGTTGTAAGATTTTGAGCTTCACTTTACTTGTATGAGAAATTAAAGCAGTGTTCCAGTAGTTGCTGCAGTCTTTGACATCTCCTTTTTTAGAATTGGAATGTAGATTGTTTCCAGTCTGTGGACTATCATTTTGTTTTTCATATTTGTTGGCACAATCTTGTTAAGATTTTGATGCACTCTTCTTTCTACTCCTGGTGATTTGTTTCTCCTGGCTGCTCTGAGTGCAGCTTTTACTTCACCTTCTAAAATTGCAGGTTCTTCTTCAAAAGATTCATCTTGGAAGGAATCTGTTATCCTTTCATCTCTTTTGTATAGTTCTTCAATGTATTGTTCCCTTTCTTTCTTTCTTTCTTTCTTTCGGCCCCCCGGAGGGGATTTTTTATTGCATTTTTTTAATAGACTACAAACTACAATGAAAAATTAGGAAGGGGTAACTACATCTAGGGAGAAAGAAAAGAAAACCACTAATAACTAAAACCCCAAGAATAGGAGATCATAACAACAGCTTATATAAATGTTAATCTTATATTGCTAGTATTACTTTGAACATAGTCGGTTATGCTAAATTATTTATCTTTTTATCCATTGATTTAACTGTTTAAGAGAACCCCAAGAGCATCCAATAATAAATCCAAAATTTTAAGGCACAATTCAGAGTCCTTCAGCCTTCATTTTGTTTTATCTTTTCTAATCCTCAATTGATATGCACGTTTGGGGGCAGCCACCCCCTTATCGGAAGCAGAGTCCTCATCGGAAGACACCGAGTCCAATTCACCACTGGATTTGCTGTCATCTTCTTCCTTAGCGACCTCATCTGTCTCTCCCATCAAATGGGATGTCTTTTAGGATCCTGATGATGTTGTCCCCGATCATCAAGGGTGTTCCTGTAGTTGCTTTCAGGATAGAATCCCTCACATGCCTCTTCAAGAATCTGACCACTATCTCCCCAGACAGATTCTTCTTCTTAATATACACGGAATAGGACCCGTAGACCACATCCATTTCGTTTGCAAGATA